CCAGGCTGATCTTGAATTCCTGGGCTCAACCGATCCTCCTGCCTTGGCCTCTCAGAGTGCTGGCATTATAGGTGTGAGCCACTGCACCCAGCCATTAGCATAAGATTTTAGCTGGGCACAGTGACATGCTCCTGTAGTCCCAGCTACTATGGTGACTAAGGCAGGAGGATCACTTGAGTCCAGGAGTTTGAGGCTGTAGTGAGCTATGATGGCACCACTGTACTTCAGCCTGAGTGACAGAGGTAGACCCTGTTTCTAAATATAAATATTTTAAGGTTCATTCATGTTGTAGCACGTGTCAGTGTGTCATTCCTTTTTGTGGCTGAATAATATTCCTTTGTATGGATATACCAGGTGTTCAACATTTTGAGGGACTGCTCTACAGTTTTCCAAAGCAGCTGCACCATTTTACATTCCCACCAGCAAAGTATGAGGGTTCTAATTTCTCCACATCCTTGTTTTTACCTACTTTTTTTTTTATTATAGCCATCCTAGTGAGTGTGAAGTGGTATCTGTGGTTTCAGTTTGCACTTTCCTAATGACTAACGATGTTGAGCATCTTTCATGTGTTTCTTGACTGTTTTCATATCTTTTGGAGAAATGTCTTTTGAGATCCTTCGCCCATTTTTTAATTGGATTATTAGTTGTAAGAGTTCTTCATATATTCTGGATATAGGTCCCTTATGAGATACATGATTTGCAAACATAACCCCGCTTCTGTGGATTATCTTTTCACTTTCTTGACAGTATCATTTGCAACAGAAGGGTTTTTGATGCAGTCCAATTTCTCTGTTTTCTTTTGTCACTTGTACTTGTTATAGTATCTAAGGAACCACAAAGGCCATGACGATTTATTTCTGTTTTCTTATCAGAGTTTTATAGTTTTCTTATAAATTTGGGTCTGTGATCTGTTTTGAGTTCATTTTTGTGTGTGGTGTGAGGTAGGGGTCCGAATCCATTCTTTTGCCTGTTGCTAACAAGTTGTTGTGGCACCATTTGTTGAAAGGACTGTTCTTTCCCTGATTATATTGGCAGCCTGTAGTATTGGTTTTTATATACTATTACAACTTTGGAAAATTCAGTACAGAATTACTTGGAGCATGTTGATTTGTCTGAGAGAACTGTGAATACCAGTTTCATGATTTTAGGGTAACTACAAAATGCATATTATATTCTATCCTTTGTCAGATGTGTTAATTTAATTGTTTTATATAAGGTAAGAATGCTGTACCTCTGTCTAAACACAGAAATAACACACATTTTAATACAAAAAATGTGGAACTTCTAAAAGTTTGAGGCTAATTTTTCCTGCATAAATTCGCAAATGTTTGTGACATATTTCGTAACTTTACTAGTAGAAGAATCCTTCCCTGTGTTATTAGTATTAACTAAAGTATCTAGTAAAGGGAATATTATTTGCAGAACAAATTTAATGTGTTAGTTTAATGGGTGTTAATTTAATTATAATTGCTGAACTATTATATACTTTTCTTAGTTCCTGTTTTTTTGTTTTTTCTTTACAGCAAAGTATCCAGAGATAAAGTCCTTGATGAAACCTGATCCCAATTTGATATGGATTATAATTATGATGTTTCTTACCCAGTTGGCTGCATTTTACATAGTAAAAGACTTGGACTGGAAATGGGTCATATTTGGGGCCTATGTGTTTGGCAGTTGCATTAACCACTCAATGACTCTGGCTATTCATGAGATTTCCCACAATGCTGCCTTTGGCAACTGCAAAGCAATGTGGAATCGCTGGTTTGGAATGTTTGCTAATCTTCCTATTGGGATTCCATATTCAATTTCCTTTAAGAGATATCACATGGATCATCACCGGTACCTTGGAGCTGATGGCGTCGATGTAGATATTCCTACCGATTTTGAGGGCTGGTTCTTCTGTACCACTTTCAGAAAGTTTATATGGGTTATTCTTCAGCCTCTCTTCTATGCCTTTCGACCTCTGTTCATCAACCCCAAACCAATTACTTATTTGGAAGTTATCAATATCGTGGCCCAGGTCACATTTGACATTTTAATTTATTACTTTTTGGGAATTAAATCCTTAGTCTACATGTTGGCAGCATCTTTACTTGGCCTGGGTTTGCACCCGATTTCTGGACATTTTATAGCTGAGCATTACATGTTCTTAAAGGGTCACGAAACTTACTCATATTATGGGCCTCTGAATTTATTTACCTTCAATGTAGGTTATCATAATGAACATCATGACTTCCCCAACATTCCTGGAAAAAGCCTTCCACTGGTAAGTAAAGGATTTGATACATATTCTAATTTCGTTTTTTTGTTTTTTGAGACTGTGTCTCACTCAGTCACCCAGGCTGGAGTGCAGTGGCACGGTCTCGGCTTACTGTAACCTCCACCTCCCAGGTTCAAGTGATTCTCATGCCTCAGTCTCCCAGGTAGTTGGGATTACAGGCGCATGCCACC